GAGCCCCGCCGTCGCAGCGGCGCTGCCGGGCAAGCGTGGCAAACCGCCTCGCCTGGCCCGCTGAGCAGAAGAGGACGGGCCACACAGCGCCCGACTGTGTCTGTCTGCAGGATTATCTCCTCACAGCAAGTATCACCACAACCAGAGCCACTCGTTTCCATGCTTCTGACCGGTGGAAAAGCATCGACATTCATTACAGTCAAAAAAAAAAGAAAAAAAAGAAGAAATGCCTGTTGTTAGATAGGGTTAATCAGTGAAGTGAAACATGACTAAGCCACAGACAACCTACACAGGACACTGGGGTACCAGTTACTCTGGTACGTGGTAGCAGCAGAATCACTAGCACAAGGCAAAACATGAGCTTTGAAATGATTTTACTGAGACCTTTGGCTAGTGTGGCTCCAATTGGTGTGGTCAAACTCAGCCAGAAATTTAGTTTGGAAGGTGACGGGGAAGAGAACCGAAGAGTCCAGAGCCAGCTCCGCAGCTGCACTATGTGTAGAAGATGATCTCTGGGATTTGTCCGTCCTCCACGGAAGTGCCGTTGTTATTCCCAGCCGCGTAACAGAACGTAAAGCAGGTTTTGGCTCCCGTTGTTGGTGATTCATGGATCACTTTGCGCAGTCCTTTGGTTCCGTAGTGGGAATCTGGACCCTGTGATGGCCACGGGAGACAAGAACAGGTCAAGGCCGGGCCCGAAGCAATGAGCTTTGGAGATCTCGGCACCTCCCTTTTCTTTCTGGTTCTTGCGCCTCAGGTATTTTGAGCAAAGTTCTCGTCTCTATCAGAGCTTAACGCGACATTTAACCAGGTCTCAACAGTTAAACATCAACTTTTTTAAGCTGCTGCAGGCAGGCTCGGGATTACACACCCGCAGAACCGACAGCTTATCTGGATAACACCCAAAAACACCCCCCCGCTATCACTCCCTCCACCAATGCGATCGCTACCCTGGGAATCACCGCACACTTGCAAGCCAAGTTAATACCCAGCTCTGAACGCTGGTGCTGAACGTGCACATGGCACCACCAGGTGAAGGAGCGTGGAGCAGAGCTTCGGGGTGACACTGCAGGCCTTGAAAAACGCAGAGCGAGCAGCACGTCGCACCGAAGGGACTACAGAAGCCGCTTTCACCCATCCCTATAAACCTCTCCCCCTGCCCGTGCCGCCCCAGGACGGTACCTTCAGGGTTGCACATGCTGTATAGTTGACATTGGGTAAAATCTCGACAGGTTCCTTGAACATCACCCGGAAAGTGTTTGATGATCCGTCACAGCTGAACCCCGTGTCGTTCTGCCCCAGGACCGTGTTACTGTCCGTGTGGATGATCTGGAAGACACGTGTTAACTTTTAATGCGCAGTTATTTGAACACTGCCCTGCACCAGTGCGTCCGCTGAACTGGACTGAACCCGAGGGACTCAACAGTTTGACCAGCCCCACTGCGACTGCGCTACCCCGTTGCTTATGTGCGTCTCCAGGGCTGTGATCACACCCAACGACTGCGGGCTCGGGTCCCAGACAGCCCAAGACAATCCCTCCTTACCCCGAAGCCTGGCCGGGGACTGCAGACCGACGTTCTGCGCTTACATCTTCACCTGCCTTTCTCCTCCAAGGGCTCAGGGGCACCAGAAGGAGACCCTGCCAATTAAGGAAGGAGTGCTGGCAGACTGTGCTCATCACATGGGCCGCGCTGCGGGAACTTGCCCAGGGAAAGCCGTTCTCAAGTGCTCCAGACTGGGGTTACGTAGGCGCATCCGGAACAAGGCACCCAAGATTTCCGTAAGCCACCTCAGTCTCTGAACAAGATCACGACGGGTTTCAGACAGCTGAGCCTCCCTCAGTCCCGCTCAGCATCTCAAACGGGACGCTGACGACGCGAGGCCGCGCACCAGCGCTGCACGGGCCCAGCACTGACACAGCAATTGCTTTCTTCTCTTCCCTTCTTGAGTTGTGGCTGCTCCGCTGCATTTGTACAGCTCGGAGCAAGAGATGGTCTGAGCACCACTGCAGCACCCGGCCGCTGCTGCAGCGCCGCAGGGCAGAACTGGCCTGGCCTGCTCGGTGTGGGGAAACACGCACAGCTTCTTCTCAAACTACGCCGCAACTCTCGGAGAGGTATTTTCAAAGGCTGCGAGCAGACTTGGGGAGATACCGCAGTGACGCATGCAACGGGAGGTTGCATAAAATCGAGAGCAATAATCCCTCTTATCCCCAGTGCCCCATCTGGCCCTGGCTGCATCTGCCAGCCACCCTACCTAGAAAACAAATCCAGTCCTTTCTAACTTCAGATTTTGTTGCATATTCACAAAAACGTGCAAGTCAGTCCCTACAGCAGCAAATATTTTTAACGTAGTAGAGAGAATTACCTGTATATTTACTTGGTAATCCGTGGGCCCATGTATGGATCCGTATAATCCAAACCCAACTACAAATATCCTTTTGTTTACTGAGAACCTGCAGGAAGAGATCAGGAACGTCAGACCAACTTGCCACTCCAGTACTGTTTTACCGCAAGGGTGACACACAAACATCTTCACTCGCTTTAATTTGATACCTAGGATTTAATCAAACACACTGCAGTTTTAAATGCAACTAATAACTGAAATCCTGTACAGAAATCATAATTTGGAAGCTCACACCTTCAACTGTCCTAACGGGCTGGCAACAATTTTGGTCGCTCATGTGAAACACAAAGCTGCGCAATCCCATCACCGAACTTCAGAGCCCAGGCTCGCTCAGGAAGCGTTTTGAGGTTGCAGTACGATGTCAGCATCCAAAAACGCCAGCCAAGCAAAGGCAGGGGAGCCTGCAGAGCGTGGAATGGTGCCCACCCTCACGCAGCAGCAGCCTTTCCAGCAAGGTAACAGCAAAGACCACTTAAAATGTCATCAGATATTTCATGGCTGAGCGCTGGAGCAGAATCGTTAATGTGCTTCTGAGTGTTTGCTGGATACAGCTGCGCTCAAGGTTTACCCAAGAGTAGACAAGAAGATTCGATCGCTCCTGAACGCAAGAATCCCTGCTGCCTAAGGACATTCACCCCACTGCAGCTCCACCTTCTCAGGTAGTGAAAGCCTCCATGCCTGCCAAACTGCCAACATCGTTTCTTCACCCACCCGCCAACCCTTTCAGCCCTGCGTGTTTCAAGAGCAAACATCTGCGACAGGCCAGAAGCCACTGCTCCGCAACCAGCATAAAACATTCGGCGTGGAAACTGCACCCAAGCCTCGCTGAAGACTGACCCTGACGCTGCCAGCAGTTGGACTTAAAGTCAAATACAAGCTCCGAAAGGGCTCTGAACGTTAGATGCAAGAGCAGTGTTTGGAGCTAGCAGCTCTTCCAACTACAGTCTCCTGTAAGGGGATGAATGGACCAGAAGATCTAGTTAGCGGTGTCCCTGCTCACTGCAGGGGGGTTGGACTAGATGACCTCTAGGGGTCCCTTCCAGCCCAAAACATTCTATGATTCTATGATAAGATCCAACCTCTGTCAATATGCGAGAAAACCATTGATGAAAAGGCTTAAAATTTTAAAGAACTACATCGATGTGAGTCCCCCTTCCACCCAAGAGAAAAGACGAATCGGGAAATAACCAAGGCTCTCTGATTACCTCCTGTCTTGCTCTAATCACTTGGCCACACAAGGCTTGCAAACCACCGTTTGCCACGCCACACCTCCACATCTCTGTCACCACGACTGGGCTTTGCTGTTTCTCTACAAGCTCAGGTCTAAACAAACCAGGTATTAGCAGAAAAGCAGGCGCAGCAAGCGTTTTATCCTAATCCCTCCCTCAAATCGGCAAGATTAGGCAGCTCCAACGAGGCACGTTTACACTTATAATGGAGCAGGGAACCAACCTGACGGAGCACTGCCGAGTCGACACAGCCAGGCACAGGAGGAAGCCACGAGCTGCCTGGTGACTCCAACCACTACGTGCCCGTACAGCTGCAGGAAGCCACTTGAAAAGGAGAGAACTAATCCCCCAAGAGGCCTGTGCTGGAGGGCCACATTGGCTGGAATCCTTCGCCAATACAGAAGCAAAGTGGCAGCCTGCAGCTGCACACGTAGGTTAACGCATCCCAGCAAAACGCTTTCCCTTCGGGGTTCGCCGTAGGGTTTATGTGGTGGAAGTCAGGGTCTAGCACGTAACCTTGCGGGTTTAGGTCTAGAGTAGGCTCAAAGCTCAGTAAACATGAATCTATCAGCAGCAGAATTAGCAGAGAAGCTGACCTTATCCTGTCACTAGTCCCACTGTACCCCCAGCGGCTCTCCACCTGCTGGAAACGGCTGATGCTGCACTCCTTCCCCCGCAGGCAGCAGCGCGGTCTGTCGATGAACTCCACCCGCGGCTTCGGGTTCACGGTGAAGTGGAGGAACAGGCTCACCACCTCCCGGTCCGTGAGGATTCCCGACTGGGCAGGCCCTGCAAAGGAGCACGAAAGCAGCGACGCGGTCAGAAACCAGAAGGGATCCCTTTGGGGATTTACTTGGGGAGGCAAACTTGACTTGTGGCAAACTTGACTTGCAGATTAGGGTGGGCCGAGCCCACATCGCACGTGGGATCTCGCTGGTGTGTCAGCAAGTTAAACCCCAGAAACGTGCTGCCTGCCTTTTATTTGCACGCCAGTTGTGGACTGCAGAGCCTCTGCACGGAGGACGTACGTGAAACGGTCATCAAGTGCACAGCTCTGCAGAACCAGAATGAATTTGGCTGACAGGACTGGGTTAAAAACCTAAACCATGCAGCTAATCCTTCCCCTGCTCCCTCAGGAGACAATAATACTGGTTAAGAGACGGGGATTTTCCTACATCTGCACCGGTATTCTGTAACAGCACTGTTAAGACATCACGAAAGGGGTAGTGGGAGAGAGCATCACCTGGTTACCATCAGCTTAGAAAGTATAGGAGGATTTTTCGGTCAAGACTAAGGTGGTTTAGCTCATGCCCTGCTTTGACTCCCTCCTCCCCTCAGGCATTTAATCCCTGCTTTGGGTCTGGGTTTTTGGTTTGGTTTTTTTTTAATACCTTTATTGCAGAACCTAGGGAACAAGGCTAGCAATTTTAGAAAGAGCTGAAACACATTCTCGTCTCTCCTCCAGTAACTGGAAGTTTTTTTCCAAAGTGATGCTACACTCAAGCTTCGGAAAGCACGAGTACTTTGAAAATTGGAACTGGGTAAAAATTAAGACTTTTAGCAGGAGAGTCAAAAGCTGCTCTGCGCCTCTGTTTGCAAGAGGCTTTTAACAGAAACAAGACTGCTGCGTACTGGAGAAACAATCGCATCGAGTGCTCTTTAATGTGGGAAGCAAATGCGTAGCTACTTGTTGGCCCAAACCAACTTGTAGCTGGTTAAATTCAGCACAATGTTACGCAGACGTAACGTGGTCCAAGGCTGCAATGGGTAGAGGTGAGAGAATTTAAGGAAGTCGGCTGTTAACAGATAAATGAGCTTACGGATAGGCTGCTCAGCAAAAATTAGTCGTCATTGATCATGCCTGAACTTATCCTGTGTTGCTGCAATTCAATGCTCAAATGTTTCACATTTCTAAGGGAAGGGAGCGACACATTTGCCAGTTCAAACATCTTCATGCAAAACTCCGTGTTTGATACCAGCTTATACAACGAACTGGCGAAACCACTGCCTGTAGAAATCCGTTTGTGCTTTTGGGAGAGGGGGGCAGAGAAGAGTGGTTTCCCTCTCCTCCCTGCGCTGTGAGCACCAAAGAAATCGAAGTCACTCAGAAAACTCAGAAAAAGGACAAAGTTGAAGCAATTCCAAGGCAGACCCTTGTGGAAGGAACAGCTGATCAGCGCGGCCTCTTGGGTTTGGGGTTTCTTTTCTTCGTCTTTTAGGTTCAAGTGGATGGAGAAAACTTGAGCCTCTCTCAAAGCAAGATGCCTAACCAGAGAGCCAAGTCGAAGGGGCAGTTGTGACGGACAGCACGGGGAGGGGCACTGACGTTGCCAGCTCAAAAACTTCAACCCAAATGTGCCAAAATTAACATGTTCCTCCCAGTGAGACAGAATGATAGAAGATCCGACGGAAGGGTTGAAAGAAAGAAGGCGGCCAGTGACATCCTGGGGTGCATGAAGAGGAGCGTGGCCAGCAGGGCGAGGGAGGTTCTCCTCCCCCTCTGCTCTGCCCTGCTGAGACCCCACCTGGAGCACTGGGTCCAGCTCTGGGCTCCCCAG